TATTTCTGCCTAGCCAGTTATTTCCCATTTTTGTATCTGTGCACTTGATTTTTTTTTCCTTTCTAAGTGTAGTACTTTTCACTTCTCTGTTAAATTTCATCTGGTTGATTTTTACCAATTTTCCAAACTATCAAGATCCTTTCAATTTCTAATCCTGTCCTCCAACATGCTTGCAATCCTTTCCAGCTTGGAGTCATCAGCAAATTTTATAAGTATACTCTCCACTCCATTATCCAACTCATAATGAAAACATTAAATACTACTGGGTACAGGACTGACCCCTGTGGGAACTCACTAGATAGGACCTCTCAGTCTGACAGTGAATCATTGATAACGACAGTGTGAATATGGTTTTTCGGCTAGTTGTGAACACACTTTATAGCAGTTTCATCTAAACCACATTTCCCTAGTTTGAGAATGTTAGCAAGGATTTTGACAGTCCCACCTAAAATCAAGATATATCAAATCAACTGCATCCCCCTATCCACTAGGCCAGTAATCCTGTCAAAGAAAGAAAGTAGGTTTGTTTGGCATGATTTGCTCTTGACATATCCATGTTGGCTATTGCTTGGGGAACAAAGCTACTAGAGCCTCCCCTGGGATAGTGCTTGGGGTGTGCTATAGACCACCAGGATCTGATTTGGATATGGATAGAGACCTCTTTAATGTTTTTAATGAAGTAAATACTAATGGGAATTGTGTGACCATGGGAAACCTTAACTTCCCAGATATAGACTGGAGGACAAGTGCTAGTAATAATAATAGGGCTCAGATTTTCCTGGATGCGATAGCTGATGGATTCCTTCACCAAGTAGTTGCTGAACCAACAAGAGGGGATGCCATTTTAGATTTGGTTTTGGTGAGTAGTGAGGACCTCATAGAAGAAATGGTTGTATGGGACAACCTTGGTTCGAGCAATCATGAGCTAATTCAGTTTAAACTAAATGGAAGGATAAACAAAAAAATAGATCTGTGACAAGGGTTTTTGATTTCAAAAGGGCTAACTTTAAAAAATTAAGGAAATTTAGCTAGGGAAGAGGATTGGACTGAAGATTGGATTGGATCTAAAGGCAGAAGAGGCCTGGAATTACTTCAAGTCAAAGTTGCAGAAACTATCAAAAGCCTGAATCCCAAGAAAGGGGGGAAAATTCATAGGCAGGAATTGTAGACCAAGCTGGATGAGCAAGCATCTCAGAGAGGTGAGAAAGCCTACAAAGAGTGGAAGATGGGAGTGATCAGCAAGGAAAGCTACCTTATTGAGGTCAGAACATGTAGGGATAAAGTGAGAAAGGCCAAATGCCATGTAGAATTGGACCTTGCAAAGGGAATTAAAACCAATAGTAAAAGGTTCTATAGCCATATAAATAAGAAGAAAACAAAGAAAGAAGAAGTGGGACTGCTAAACACAGAGGATGGAGTGGAGGTTAAGGATAAGCTAGGCATGGCCCAATATCTAAACAATACTTTGCCTCAGTCTTTAATGAGGCTAATGAGGAGCTTAGGGATAACGATAGGATGACAAATGGGAATGAGGATATGCAGGTAGATATTACCACATCCGAGGTAGAAGCCAAACTCGAACAGCTTAATGGGATTAAATCGGGGGGCCCAGATAATCTTCATCCAAGAATATTAAAGGAACTGGCACATGAAATTGCAAGCCCATTAGCAAGAATTTTTAATGAATCTGTAAATTCAGGGGTTGTACCGTATGACTGGAGAATTGCTAACATAGTTCCTATCTTTAAGAAAGGGGGAAAAAAGTGATCCGGGTAACTACAGGCCTGTTGACATCTGTAGTATGGAAGGTCTTGGAAAAAATTTTGAAGGAGAAAGTAGTTAAGGACATTGAGGTCAATGGTAATTGAGACAAAATACAACATGGTTTTACAAAAGGTAGATCATGCCAAACCAACCTGATCTCCTTCTTTAAGAAGGTAACAGATTTTTTTAGACAAAGGAAAGACCATGGATCTAATTTACCTCGATTTCAGTAAGGCATTTGATATGGTTCCACATGGGGAATTATTAGCTAAATTGGAAAAGATGGGGATCAATATGAAAATTGAAAGGTGAAAGGGGAGATGACAACGGGTCGTACTGAAAGGTGAACTATCAGGCTGGGGGGAGGTTACTAGTGGAGTTCCTCAATGATCGGTTTTGGTACCAATCTTATTTAATCTTTTTATTACTGACCTTGGCACAAAAAGTGGGAGTGTGCTAATAACGTTTGTGGATGACACAAAGCTGGGAGGTATTGCCAATACAGAGAAGGACTGGGATATCATACAGGAAGATCTGGATGACCTTGTAAACTGGAGTAATAGTAATAGGATAAAATTTAATAGTGAAAAGTTCAAGGTCATGCATTTAGGGATTAATAACAAGAATTATTGTTATAAACTGGGGAAACATCAGTTGGAAGTAACAGAAGAGGAGAAGGACCTCGGAGTATTGGTTGATCACCGGATGACTATGAGCCACCAGTGTGATATGGCTGTGAAAAAAGCTAATGCGCTCTTGGGATGCATCAGGCGAGGTATTTCCAGTAGAGATAAGGAGGTGTTAGTACCGTTATTCCAGGAACTGGTGAGACCTCATCTGGAATACCATGTGCAATTCTGGTCTCCCATGTTTAAGAAGGATGAATTCAAACTGGAACAGGTACAGGGAAGGGCTACTAGGATGATCCGAGGAATGGAAAACCTGTCTTATGAAAGGAGACTCAAAGAGCTTGGCTTGTTTAGCCTAACCAAAAGAAGGCTGAGGGGAGATATGATTGCTATCTATAAATATATCAGAGGAATAAATACCAGGGAGAGAGAGGAATTATTTAAGCTCAGTACCAATGTGGACACAAGAACAAATGGATATAAACTGGCCATCAGGAAGTTTAGACTTGAAATTAGACAAAGGTTTCTAACCATCAGAGTAGTGAAGTTCTGGAACAGCCTTCCACGGGGAGCAGTGGGGGGCAAAAGACATATCTGGCTTCAAGACTAAGCTTGATAAGTTTATGGAGGGGTTGGTATGATGGGATAGCCTAATTTTGGCAATTAATTGATCTTTGACTATTCGCGGTAAGTATGCCCAATGGCCTGTGATGGGATGTTAGATGGGGTGGGATCTGAGTTACTACAGAGAATTCTTTCCGAGGTGTCTGGCTTGTGAGTCTTGCCCACATGCTCAGGGTTTAGCTGATCACCATATTTGGAGTCGGGAAGGAATTTTCCTCCAGGGCAGATTGGCAGAGGCCCTGGGGGTTTTTCGCCTTCCTCTGCAGCGTGGGGCACGGGTCACTTGCTGGAGGATTCTCTGCACCTTGAAGTCTTTAAACCACGATTTGAGTACTTCAATAGCTCAGACATAGGTTAGGGGTTTGATACAGGAGTGGGTGGGTGAGATTCTGTGGCCTGCGTTGTGCAGGAGGTCAGACTAGACCAGGGGTCGGCAACCTTTGGCACGCAGCTCGCCAGGGTGCTTACCCTGGGGAGCTGCATGCCAGAGGTTGCCAACCCCTGGACTAGACAATCATAATTGTCTCTTCTGATCTTAAAGTCTATGATTCTATGATCATTTAATATTGCTTCTTTGAGAAACTCCTAGCTTTCCCAACCTCCTTCCATCCTGAGATTTTCTTCCAACGGGACCTCAGCTGCCATTTCCCCATGTTTTAGCCTGCTTTCTTTTTTAAGTCTGCTGTCCTTATTCTGTTGCTTTCACTCTTTCTATTATGAATCTTATTAATTCTACAGTTTTTGTTTGGATTTATTATTTTCAAGCATTTTTAGCATCTACTTTACTCATTTCTCTGAGCTTGAGCACTGGTGTTCACAGCTCTTTTTCCACTGTTGCCAAATTCAAGTCCTTAGTGAAAAGCACGAAGTGATCATACAAGACAAGTTTGCTCACATTCTACCACAGGTAAAGTGGAGAAAGAAAATACAATGGACATAATTTATCTTTTCAAAATCAATAAAGTTTAGGGAGATCTGGCAATAACTCCTATATTTAGGTTGCCTATGTATATTACTCACATAAGACCCTAATATATCTGTTTGTATATATCTCCATTATTTTTTTCAAGTCACTCTTAATGACTAATATTATTTGAAAGAGAATAATCCCAAAGCCCTAAAATATAAAAAATATGTAATTAAAAAAAAAACAAGACGAATGCAAGCCTAGGGGATCAGCAGAACACAAGAAAGGGAGAGATCATCAAATAACTGAAAACTATTTATTTCACGAGACCAAAAGAATGAGGGGTATCTTACAGAACAGGCAAAGAAACTTTTATCTTTCATGGTGAAGTCTTGCAAACAGCAGAACTCACTGCTACTCAGTGTTAATGTAATGCAAATATAATTTTAATCAATAACTTGCTATGATGGATGGAAAATATATAAATTGGTTCAAATGCCTTCCAATCATCTACCCGCAGCTGCACAGGAAAGCTATTCCAGTCTTAAGTCTGATTTATCTTTAATAGGTATCTAAACATGATGGGGCATGATGAAAAACATTCAAAAAGTAACTACATTAGATGTAGTGTTCAATTTGACATATTTCATATGTTTTCAGGATGGAAGTCCTCTATCCAACTAAGCAATGAAATCATACTCAGCAGGTGGTACTTTCAAAAGCACTCAGCATTGGCCTAACTACTTCCATTGAAGTCAGTAATGAGTTCTGTCATTAACTTGAATGGGAGCAAGGTGAGGCCAATTACAAAGATTTCTGAATATTTCCCCAATGGGTTTTTTAATCTGTATCTGGTTATTTTCCACACAATGACAAATGCCATGTTTTCCTCACTTGTTTTTTTCTCTAGGAATGTGTCCTTTCCTTTCCTGAAACAACACAAACAGCAGGTCTCTAGATCAATGTTTTAAAGGCCTCACCATCCACTTGCCCTGTGCTTGTCCAGGAGTTATATCTCCAACCCACTCAACATATCATCCATTTTGAAAAATGAGATTTGGTTTGGATTTACTTACGGCACACTCAGTTTGGGAAATTTCTGAATATCATTTTCAGACATGTTCTGCAACAGAAACACACATAGTATATGTTACAAAATTGTTCACGTAACAGCTTGGGAGATAAGAAAGCTTTAATATTCTTTCATGTGTCAAAACATTACAATTAACAGGACTGCATGATAAGTAGAAAACTAATGAAGAACAGGTACAAACCTAAGCCCCTGTTCAGCATTTAGGATTCGATTCAACAAAATATTAAGCATGTGCCTAACTTTAAGCACTAACGTGAAGTCAATGGCACTACATATATGCTTAAACTTAGGTGTGTGCTTAGGTACCATGCCATATTGTGTTGTAATTGGGTCTCTGCTGGTGTTATGCTGCTCGGTTGACACTCTGTGTTACTGTGGGCTGAGATTTAAAATGTTGACTTGCTGTACCTAGGGGCAATGTAAAAAACCTTTCCTCCAACAGCCTTTTCCCTGTAGCTTGTCATAGTTACTGGAATTATATTGAGCAAACAGGCAAAATTTCAAGCATACACAAGAATGCATTTCAAACTATAACAACGTGACCCAAAAGCTCATCCCATGGTCCCTAGGGAAACGTACAAGCAGCTTAAATCAGAACAAAGATGGACACACATTTTAATGAAAAAATTCTCTATTAGTTCTTCTGCCTTCCCCTCTCCCTTTCTCTCTCTCTCTCTCTCTCTCTCTCTCTGCTTTGCTAGATCTTGATCCTCACTTAATGTTGCCCTAGGGCTGGACGCATCTAGCCCACTGGTTAATAAATCTCTGGTGTCTGTGGTGCCAAGGAAGTGAAATATCCTTTGAGATAATACAGCCCATCTCTATGCACCAATTCACACAGAAAGTGGAGATCCACCTCCCCTTGAGATCTAACCATGATGACAGACTTGAACTCCAAACACAGTTCATAGAGTCTACTGATGTCTTCACCCATGGCCATAACACTTCTGCTGGCAATACATGAATTCTCTGCTTCTCTCAGAGAGCCCTACAAAAAAAGGTGGGTTTTTTTTCCCCAACATTTTTTTTTAAAACAGTTTCCATTTCAAAAGCAGTGTGCGTGTGTTTAAATGAAAAGAGCTTTTCCTGGTTGTGGGAGGCAGAAGTGGGCAATGCTCTGTGGTTTTGGATCTCAAGAGTTCTCTGATTCACATTGCGTTCACATCTTTTTGTTCTGCAATGAGCCTAGGTTGGAACCAACTCAAAAACTCCAGGCTGCACTCCTTTGAAATCACCCAGTTTCTCCAAGCTGCACAGCAAAATCATGTGAAACTGTAAACTTCACAGTGTCAATAGGAAGCTGGAGGATTCTCTGCGACTTGAAGTCTTTAAATCACGATCTGGAGACTTCAACAGCTGAGATAAGGGAAATTGGGTGGGTCAGCTTTTGTGGCCTGCATCATGCGGGAGGTCAGACTAGATGACCATAATGGTCCCTTCTGACCTTAAAGTCTATGAGTCTATGAGTCTATGAAACCATAAAATGGGGGCCAGGTTTTCTTGACTGGGTCAGGAGTCCTATTCTGGCAACACACTCTGAAGCCAGGAAAGCTTTGCACTATGGTTTTTCAATGCAGGTTTTACACAGATATATTTGTTACCTGCCATGACAACATGCTTAGCACAGTCCTAAGGGCACCATTGGTATCATGTGTTTGGAGGACTCCTTGAACATGATGTACTAATGATGTAAAATAATAGCATAGTGTTGGTTACACAAGGAAATTTTAAAACGTATGCAGGGGCTTAAGGTAAAAACTCATAATGTTTTGCACAAAACTAGCTGATTTTTAAACTCTTTTCTTTTTTTTTAGGGAAATGGGCTGATGCATTTTTTTCATATACTTACAGTTAAAGGGCTATCTTGTCCCTGGCCTAGCTCAAATCTGGGGGCAGGGGGACGGGCACAAGGAGCCTTGCCTTTGCTCTTTGCACACCTTGTGCAAGGGCCAGTGACTGTCATAGAAACAGCTCCCTCCCCTAAATTGTGCCAAAGAGGGTAGAGAGGAAGTGAGGCGATGACTTCCCCTCCCCCAAGGAGTTTGCCTCCTGCACCAGGAGAAGCAGTTGCATCTTCCTGAAGTGCCCATCCCTCCCATCAGGTGCAGTTCCACGTTACCTCCAACAGGGTCCAGTGTCTCAATGATAATTTGGCTCAATGTGAGGGAAGTGAAAGATCTGCATGTTATATGTGCTTTTAAAAGGACATGGTAAACAACTTTAAAATGGCATTGTGGGATTCCATAAATGGGTGTCAGCTTCAGACCATATCTGATCAGTTTTGAAAATAAAAATGTGTTTTTAAACTGCCAGCTTTCAAAACTCCTCTTGGAACCTGAAAGTCAGGCTGGGATTTTCCTGGCTCATATGAGCAATAAGTGGTCTCTAATTAAACTTGGTCAACAACTCTATTGAAGAATGTTCAGCCTAGAGCAGAATCAGGCTGTGTACCCAGAGGTGTCCTTGGCTCTGGAGAACTAACATTAGTGAAATGTGGTAAAATATATATTTCTCTTAGGGAAACATCCTATAGAATCATAAAATTTAATAAGACATTTAAACCAACCCTTAGAACTCTATTAAAGGAATGTGATTGTCTGTTAAATTCAGTAGCTTGGTTTAAAAATTCTGTAGGAAGAACATGTCTCTCCATTAAATTCTACAGAGTTTTAATGTCTAAAGAATCCTATTGATTTAATCCCTAATATACTCTGTAGGACTTTTCCATGCAGGTATCAAGTATCAGAGGGGTAGCCGTGTTAGTCTGGATCTGTAAAAAGCAACATGACATGCATCCGACGAAGTGGGCATGCACCCACGAAAGCTTATGTTCCAATACATCTGTTAGTCTTAAAGGTGCCACAGGACTCTCTGTTGCTTCTTCCATGCAGGTAGTCAGCAGAGTAAAAATCATTACTCAAACTAGGGAGTGCATTCGTTGGGATGGCGCCATTTTTTCATTGTCATGTTGCTTGTATGGCTTTTGAGTGAACATGAAACCCACAAACATTCATTCTGAACAGTATCGGGCTATCCAAACGTAATTTGGCAGTTTCTACATCTTACAAAAGTCATTAGAAAGACAATTACCCTAAATAGAAGCAATTGATTTCTTACACATTGCTTTGCAGGCTGCAGTTTTCCTTGTCACTTCTTCCCCATTGTTACACTTGTGCTTTGCATCTGCAGTAAGCAGAATGTTTTCTAGTATAAGATGGCCAAGTAGGCAAAAAGTTAAAAACAAACAAAAATTATATTGGGAGAAATGAGGAAGCAGCAGCTACTGTCCTGCCTAGTAGAGATCAACCACTGAATCTGCTAGGCCATTTCTGCAGAAAAACATTCTAAACTGGTTATGTATCATAAGCACTTGGTAAACAATGCAAGAGTGAAAGATCCTTGGCCACGTAGGTATTTCAGAAATGGCATTATGCTGCACACCATGATGATCACTGAGGACTTCACAGTGACAGCAGAGCTAGAACTCACATCCTCCTTTTCTTAAACACAGGTGTCTAGTAGAGCTGGTTAGGAGTTTTGCAAGGAAAAAGTTTTTCATTCATCACAAATCTTCTTGGGGCCAGGATGGAATGACTAGTTCTGATTCAGAGCAGGGGCTTGAACATGTGTCTCCCAAAGCCCAAATGAATGCCTGGCATTCCAGATTCTCTTTATAGCAAGTGTCTTTCCATATCAAACCAGTCACTAGAAGCTGCCAAATTACGTTTGGAGGAACAGACATTACTAACGGTGAATGTCTGTAGGTGTCACGTTCACTCACGTAGCCGTACAAAGAACCCGGAGATGCAAAAATGATACCATGTTACTCAACAGATCCAGAGTCATGTTTCTCAATTTACAGACTTATCCTTATCCGACATTATAAGATATTTGGATTCTATGTAAATTACTCTAACCACTGGACTATAGAGTTATTTATACAAAATGCAATAGCTTCAGCAGGAGCGACTGTGAGAGATTCACCCCAGAACAGGCAATAGCCTGGTGGTTAGGGCACACACCTGGAAGATGATTCAGAGCAGGAATTTAAGCCTGGGGGCTCGTCTACATGGTGTGTTAGTGCACACCAGCTGGGGTGTAAATTCTAGTGTGCACTAATGTTGTGCACTAAAAGTTCCCTAATATGCATTGACATAGTCCCAGTCTACATCAATGTGCACTAGTGCATGCCAGCAGGCTCTACATTGACAGTTAGTGCACAACATGCTGGTACGCATTGGAATTTACACTAACGCTGGTGTGCACTAGTGCATCATGTAGACAATCCCCGAGTCTTCCACATTGCAGGTGAGTGCCCTAACCATCAGGCTGTTGCCTATTCTGGGTGGGTTTTTTTTCTGTTTTTATTTTTATTTTAATTTTTTTAGTGAAAGAGTTTGAAAGGTCTCAGTTTTGTTCTGATGCACACAAAACACTTTTGAAATCTTGAAAATTTTCACAGGATAGGAAAAATGTTTCCTGCCTAACTCTAGTTCTAGTACTCGAGCTGAATAAGACCTATAATGTACAGTAGAGCAGTTTTCATTCTATCCAGCAGAAGGTGGTATCCTGGTGGAATACTCTTTCATTTTTAGCAGACATGTTTTGAATTGCAAAAATTTGATGGATTTTCAAAACTTGACATTTCAAACAAACAAAAAACGAGAAGTTGGGAAGAATTGTAATGAAATTTGTGTGAAATTTCCCCCTTCTTGACTAATTATAGAGCTGGTCCATAATTAGAATTTTGAGGGGGGAAATGAAAAATGTTCAGAGTGAAAAATTGTGAAATTACTTCCCTTTTTCTCAATTAGCTCTAATTGTAGTGAGTTTATTACTTTGTGTACATATGTATCTATCCTCACACTGATTTACAGGACTCTGTAATTCCACTTAATGACAGTGAGTAATTATTAGGCTAATAAATCTCTGTGTGGTACAATGTATAAGGCACTGAGTGAGTTACAGGAGACAGAAGTTCTATTCCTGGCTCTATCACTGAGCTACTTTGGGTAAGTCACTTCCCTTCTCTGTGCCTTCATTTCCTTTTCCATCCTTTGTCTGTCTTGTCTGCTTAGATTATAAACTCTTTGTGGCGGGGCTGTCACTAAGTCTTTGTGTGACGATTATCACGCTGGGGCCTCTAATATACATAATTTAAGGTACATTTCCCTAGAACACCAATCTTCTACTAATGTTCAATACCCCACATAGAGTGTAAAATTTTTTCTGCAACAAGGTTTTTAATAAGAGCCAGATCCTACCACCAGATCTGGACTGTTTATCTCTGAAATTTGAAATAATGTATGCACTTAGGGGACTGAGAACAGCCCCCTTGTTTAATGACTGACCCATTAGGATTCTGCCATTTCTAGAGAGTGCAGATCTCATCCAGATAATTATGTTTATGATGGGATCAGATTTTCAACAGTGGAGAGACCTACGTAGATTATGTTGCTTGAGGAAAAGGCATAACTCTCTAATGCCACTTTCTTTTACATGAGGGCAGTCACAGTACATGGATAAAACTCTGTTTCTCCTGGCTAAAAACTGGGACCCGAATCCTGACTACCAGTAGGATCTGTGCATGCAGGGCCGGCACCAGGGTTTTGACCACCCCAAGAAACAAAAAAAAAAAAAAAAAAAAAAAAAAGTCGCGATCGCGGTCTAAAAAAAGACGCAATCGCGATCCGCGGCGGCAATTCGGCGGGAGGTCCTTCTCTCTCAGGCGGAGTGAGGGACCGTCCGCCGAATTGCCGCCGAATACCTAGAACTGCCGCCCCTGTCCGGAACGGCCGCCCCAAGCACCTGCTTGAGAAGCTGGTGCCTGGAGCCGGCCCTGTGTGCATGTGAATATGCAAACATTCAAAGGACAAAATTAGGTTCTGATTCAAGGTTCACTTGCAAAGACCCACTGTACTTTGTGAGTCCTGTGCTCTTTTCCATCAAAGACAAGGGCAGATCGTGCCTTAGGATCATTTCCAAGTTGAGTTTTAAAGATAATTATGAAGTTTTTATCAAAATAAAAATGTCAACCTACATGCTGTCAATTGATGTGGAATTAAGACCAGATAATGGCAGCTGTACAAATGAGAAATATGGGTTTTTTGAGCCAGATGAATTGCAGGGATAAATCGAAGTATATCTATTAATTTTCAGTGCAGCAGCACTGAATTATATCCCTGGTGAATTTGGCCTGTTAGTTGTGGTGATTTTAAATACTATTGATTATACATACAGTTTCAGAAAACAATAATTTTTTATTCATAGGGGCTTAAAATGGCAGCCCTTGGCATAAATAGTCTCCAGCAGAGGGTTAGCTTTTACAGGCAAGTGGGTTGCACTGTTCTGCGAAGGTGGGTGGGGAAATCTGACAAGCTGTAGGTTGTTGCAAATACACAAAAAACAAGCATTTCCTATAAATGACCAGAAAGAATGTAAGCAAATATTGCTGCTGTGAACCTTCACTTTCTGTTTTAAAAAACAATGTAAAATGGATTCAAGCTAAATGCAGCCATGGGGGTCCTGGTGTTCAGTGTCCATGTTTTAAAACAATGATCTTTGATGTAAAACCAGGATGTAGATCTTAAGCCCAGATCCTTAAGAATATGTAGACATCTTACTCCCATTGATGTCCATAAGAGTTAAGTGCCTAAATGCCTTTTTGAATATCTGGGCCTTAATATGTAAGCAACTGTGTAGCGGCACAAAGAACACAAGGAATGTCCTTAATTGCAAAGCCAAGGGGAAGCCAAGTGACAATGATATTGTAAATATGGAATTTTATTGTTGCACTTACCAAAAACCTTTGTCCACTTATGCTGTGTTTTCTGACGACTTTTTCACAGTCCTTATACTTTAACTGTGAATGGAGAGAAAAAGATTGTTGTTACACACCTGGTTAAATCTAAGAGTGGTTTAAGGCTTCAATTCGGCAAAGCACTTATGCACAAGCTTAGCTTTAAGCATATGCTTCAGTCCCAAAGCAATCTAGTACATCTTGAAGTCTGCCCAGCCTTGTCTAGAGCTTTTAGCTAGACTGTATTAGCTATATTTGTGTCCTAATCAAGAAAAAGCCATCAGGGCCAGAATTGCAGCCCCTGTCCTCTGCTGCTCCCGCTTGCATGGTGCAGATCTAGGCTGCCCCTTACTATGGCCAGCACACCTGGCCCCTTATTTATGTACTGATTTATTCTTCTTGAGAAATGTATGAAAAGACCCCATCAGACAATCTCTGCACACATTTTTAAAAAATACACCACTCCTTCCCTTCCCTGAAAAGAAGCTGAACAAGTTCCCTGCAATCACCTTGTGAAACAAAAGCTTTGGAAAACAGAAGAGCTTGACACTGTGCTTTCAAACTGCAGATATCTTGGACTAGTATGGCGCAATATGTTCAAAGCCAAGGTGTATGGAACAAGGGTGTCCTGCTCCCAGCTACTAGACATTCAGAATTGTTACAACTAACACGTCTCCTCTAAGCTGAAATGGTACACCTGTAACTTTGTACATGATCTGTTAACTTTCTTCTCTTCATTATTAAGATTATTGGCAATAAGGGGTCGTCTCGGGGCCCACCTAGAATGGGACGCCATTGTGGCAGTTGCATCCATGCACACAATGAAAATGCTGCCCTTGTCTCAACGAGCGTGCAAATTAAATATAAAACAGGAGATTCCAGGTTAACCCAACAAAGAGATGGGGGAACAAGGTCACAGAGGATTATGATCATAATCATCAGCAATTGCAGCTCCCTAGCCATTGTTGAGTGTTTTGTAGACATCATGGAAGAGGAGTGTTTGAGGCAAGATTTGAAAGAGGAGAATATAGTGGCTTTGTGGATGTTTACAGAGAGCTCCTTAAACTTTGTGTTTGAACATACCTGGGATAACATGAGAGAACAGCATTAGATTTTACATGTCCAAAGAGTTAATGCTCAGTTTTAGTTACAGAAGATAGGAGACTTTCCATTGACTTCAATGGACTCTGGATCAGGTCCAGAGGTGGTAAAGCTCAGGTTGGGGGAGCACAAAGGTGGTTTTTTGCTGCCTTTGCACACTCCAAAACACGGTTTGGCTAGGGGCTTGTCTGGACTGTAGTAGGACCCCTGAAGTTATCTGCTTTCCATAGCCACTTATTCTGCCCCATGCCGCTAGGAGAACACTCCTGCACTGGTGGAATTCCCCAGGGAGCATTCTATCTCCTTTATACGGCTCCAGAACAGGGAACATGATCTAAGCTTGTAACTGTGTATTGTTTTAAGGGCTGATCTTGAAAGCACTTATGCATATGAGAAACTTTACTTGCATGAGCAGGCTCCAGTTACTCATGTATTTGCAGCAATGGATCCTAACTCTGGAAAGCATTTTGGGATTCAGGTTGTATTAAAGACTTTATACAAATGAAGGACCCAATTCTACAAATAATTCCTCCCTGGCATAGTACTTACTACCATGACACTGGCAATAAGTGCTATACCTGGTAGAAAGTGTTTTGTATGACCGGGACCTAAGTTGGTTTTCTTTATGATTTTGCCAATGGCTGAAAATTCTATTTTCTGGTTTTAAGTGAATTTGAGAAAAAGGAAGAAAGTTCACAATTGTAAATTTCTAAAGTCTGAGAAATTAGTTGTGGCCCTTTATCGCTTCCTTCTGAACACAGGATGTATTGGGGAAAGCCTTTTAGTTTAATAGCCCTATTGATCAAAAGCTTTAAATGTGGTAGAGAGTTACGGAGTCAGGAGACCTGAATCTCTTTCTGTTGACCTACACTCTGTGTGGTCATTTACACTGGAGGAAGTGATTTTATCTGGATTTGGGATTGCTCAGAGCCTTTGAAAATCCTCCCCGTGGTATCTCCGTTTTGGCAGAGAAAATTAGTGGCCACTTTTGAAAATGTGGATCTCAACCTTTGGAACTCACTGCTGCATGATATTTTGAGGTAAATATATCAGTAGATTCAAAAGAAGATCCACACATTCCTAAGTATAACAAATAGCATCCTGAATTACACTCTATATGATACAAATTGTGAGGGCTAATGAAAGAGAGGCGTATCCAGTGGTGAGGGCATAGGATTTGAGATACTTGGATTCAGATCCATGCTCAGAGTTTGTGTGACTTTGGGCAAGATCCTCTGCCTCAGTTCTCCATCTGAAGAAGGGAATGTCATTGAGGATTAATAGGCTAAAGAGAGTGAAGTTCTCCGATACTACAGTCATGGGTGGCCATATAAGTATGAAAGATATATATCATATCATTCCTTGCCCCTCAGAGCATAAATTGATCAGTAATTCATACCAGGAACCCATTTCATCCCACTTGGTAGTTTCCAGTTAATGGTGATATAAAACCCTGTGCACCAGTTAAAAAGTGTGTTTTCCTTATTAATCTGCTGAACTTGGATTTAAATAATGTAGTTCTCAATAACAATAAGATCTGTCTCATTTAAGATATCTCAAGATCTTGGTTTCATTCTACTACACAGCTAAGCAGGAGCAAAACAGTTGGAACTAGAGTACTGCAAAGTTGGCGGTTTCACTTCTCAGGCAATCCGGCAAACGTTTGCTTTGACTTTGATCTGTGCACCTTTGCTACCCATGAACTTCACTTTGCATTTTGGTTTTGAACTTGTCCCAACTCCCCCAAACGAAACCCAGTGAAAGCTGTTGAAACCATGAATTTTGCATGATTTCAATAGCAAAAATTAAACTGGCCTAGGTTTCTTTGACATTAGTCCCATATCCACTTGAAACTGGTTTGCTGGAATGGATTGAAAGCCTTGGCAAACCTTTTGGGTTTAAATTTCCAGACTGTAATGAAGGTTTTGGAATTGGTTGTGAACATGCACTATAGCCAGAGTGGAAACGTAGGGAGGTATTGCTGATTATTTAAAAACCTGGGGGAAATTATGGAAAATATATGTACAAGTGATTAGATTTAAGATTCAGTAAAAATGGACCAAACTCAGCATTGCCACACATCCCTTTGCAGTTTTCCTAGCATCAATGAGGTTGCAGGGGGTAAATCAGCACTGAGTTTTGCCTATTCTTTTAAATGTGTTGCCTACCCCCACCCCCAGTGTGTAAAATCCTCCATTCTGCAAAATGAAATTTAAGAGCTCATCGGGGGTGAAGAGGTATCAAAAGGTGTGAAAGCCCCAGCAAAGTCCAGGCTAGTGTGTTAGGGGAAAAGCTACAGCAGGTGAAGGGGGGATGTATAGGAAACCTGATGAAACATCAACCTCCTAAGCAGGGGAGAAGAATGAGGAAATGAGATGGGGAGGGTGAGGAAGAAGGTCAGTTGGGATCCTGAGGCAGGGGGAGGCAATGGGTAGCAGGATCTTTTTTTATTTAAATCTGCCCCTCCAAAGAATTATTATCACTATTTATATTATTATTGGCAAATGCTTTTAATTTCAAAGACAAGGTGTCAACATGGGCATTCTACAAATAGGATCAGCTGCTAAGAGGTGGGGGAGGAAAGAATGTCTATCATTTCTCTCCCTCCATCTAGCCCTCTGCTATACTCTGGAGTAATTTTCCTTAGGCACAGATGCTGCCCTCAACCCTGTGGAACATCCCAAGGAAGTCTTTGGCACTGTTTATGTGAGTTCAGACAAAAAAATCATTCAGGCCTCATTTTCGGGCTAGCATGGGAGCTCAGTTCATCACCTCCCTTCAAAAGGCCTGATGTGGGGCCCAAGACTCAGATTTAAGCACCCAATGCTCATTGAATCTGAGCACCTAGCTCCCTTTTGAAAACCCCAACTCAGATGCTGAAGAACTCTTTTGTGTGTCAACCTAAGCAAGTTTTCATAGCCCTTTTGCTCGAACATCCTTGTTCAAAGATTGGCGCTTATGAGGTGATCTGTAGATTGAGAATCTGTTTTTCCCTTCTACTAAAGACAAGGTACTGTGGATTCTAAACCAAGCCCTGACATATAACAAGCCTTTGTAACACTAATTAGGAAAGCAATTCAGTCCAGATCAGAGATCATGTGTGCATTTTGATTAGTAAGGATCTTTAATTTTGAAAATCACAGGAATTATCTCATTGGAGAGGCCTTACAAGACCTACATATAATGCTTTTCTACCTTAAAAAATAGATTTAGCATCCTTAACTTTTACAGATCCAAACCGAATGTTACATCAGCAAGACATTGGTACCAAAGATAAGATGATTTTTCTGAGAAGCCATCGCTTTCTCTTCCTATTGATTTAGAATACATTTTTTCAGGATTTGTCAAGGGCTTCAGGGTAGATATAATCCCTTTCTGAAGTGGCATCTGCTGTGATTATTCAAAAAGATAATTTGATATTATTTATGCAACAAATTCTGCTCTTAGTGTAAAAGAATATTCATTTATTTATTTATTTATTTTTAGCACAGAAGTGTTACAGTGACTTGCTACTCCACCATACTAGGACAAAACACAGCAAAACTTACTTTTTTGAAGTAGTCTGCCAGGTCATCTGGGCTCCAAGCAACCACCACTGAGCGATAGGGAATGTTTTGTAAATCCATTTCAGCTCTTTTTTTCTAAGCAGTTACAGAATTTTCATGCCAGTAGTATTAATGAAACAGGCAGCCATAGATTTTCTGCCTATGGCTACCTGCAGCAAATTCAATAATCCACTTGCCTAAGAAATGCCCAGATCTTTTGTTAAACCGTTTTGCTTTCTATTTCTGAGTTATGGTGCAAGAATATCCAAGAGAGCAAGTGCTTCCTCTAAGTACAAAATGGTCTCTTCTCAGAAAACTTGTCAGCTATTCAGCCTCACCACTTCCTTTATCTGAATCTAAATAAGTAAACAAGGAAGCACAGCAACATGATTAAAGTATTCTGCCTTCTGCGTGTAACTGTAATCCTTATGAGCCCTATTTAACAGTATTTAAACTAGGGAGAGTGTTTGTTTATTTACATGATATTTCCATGTAACTATTGGCAATATTTAGATAGACTGGTACATTGGCTGCATAGAATTTTGCGCGTATGCGCACACGCATGTGCATCTATATTCCCACCACCAAAAAAGTTGCTGGTTTTGAATTAAGTTTGATTACCTGCAAATCTAGCTCGTTCAATCCCTGAAAACCAAGAAAATGCCTAGTTAAGAAAACCTTTAACATATCTCAGGGCCCCATATGTGATATTGATTCCTGACACTGAAACTCTCCCTTACACTGCTAACATAAAAATAATACAATGCACACAACAGATTCCTCTGGCTGCCACCCTTATGCAAACTTTTAGCAATGTCTGTGCAACATTCCCATGTATTTGCTGCAGTTATCTGGTATAAGGTATATGCAGGATGTCTTACATGGGGAAAGTATGAGGTTCGTGCTAAGGTTTTGCATTAGAATATATGCAGGAACTAAAATTTAACTATGGAGCTGCAGCCAGCACCTGCACAATACCCCGTATATAGGTTGGGGATTTCGGCTAGGTGAAATTTCAAAATTCTAAATTTAGGTTTAAAAAACCATGCACACCCCACACTCCACCCCCAAAAAAACCTTTGATTACATTTTCACTATTCCACCTCCCCATTTTTCATTGGATCTAGTGGTGATAAATTCTAAACTATGGCACTATGAGATAAATGAGAAAACCATGTAAAAAACCAGAGACCATAAATTGCATCTATTATGCACCTTTGACTAGTTTACCTGCATGCTGCCCATTAATCCACCTCTGCCGAGACAACTTTCAAACTTCTAGCAGCTTCAAACACTTAACATTAAAAGAGAACTTGACAAATATTTCCTTTGTCCTCCCTCCCCACAAACCTAACATGGAATTGACCTCCCGCCCCTGGAAATTATACCGATGGGCAATATTCAGTTCTGGTTCAGAGACAGGGATAAAGTTTAATAGTTTGTGGACTTTCTAGGTTAGAAATAGTAGCTCCATACCACTAGAAAGGGGAATTTCCCATGTTTCCAATGTGATATACAGCCCCTGTAGCTTTTAGCCCTGTTTCAGAGGTCCTTAATATAGATACTGTATGGCACTGATTATTAATCATTCTTTATTTGTTTGACGGATCCCGTGATCACAAGAAAATATGGACCATGATGACGTCCCACACTAGAGTAAGGTGTTACTATAACTCCATAGTATGCAGAGACAAGGTGGGTGAGGTAATATCTTTTGTTGGACCAACTTCTGATGGGGAGTGATGAGTTTTCAAGCTTACACAGAGCTCTTCTTCAGGTCTGGGAAAGAAAGAGGGGGAGGCAGCTGTGGGGTGCGTTGTTAGTGGATTACAGCTTGTTGTAATAAACCATAAATCCAGTGTCTTTATTCAGTCTTTATTCAGATTTTTAGGCTATGTCTACACTACTAATTTGTGTTGACAAAAGTGGTGTCGACACCCAAAAGTTGACATAATAATAATAATTGCAATTTCGTGTTCACCATAATCAACAGTGTGATCAGTGCACTGTGGGTATCTATTCCACTTCTGTCACTTCTGTTACTAGGTGGTGTGGGAAGGCGGAGCGGATAGTAGCACATCTTGGGACCAGGCTCAATGTCCCACAATGCATTGCTTTCTGTCCCAGCACTCCATAGGCTTCCGGCTTTCTTTCATGGCATTTTTTAATGGCCCTTCTTTGCTATGCACCCTGGCATCTTTGTAAGAAGGAATGGATCTTGCACTGCTCACCTATGCTCTGTTAACTGTAATGAAGACATTGCGGCTGGCAGTGCAATTAATCGTGAAATTCCTAACTGAGGAAGACTTACAGGCACCTGACATTCTGTGTGATAAGGATAGGAGCAACTTTAGATTGCCATTCACGGAGCAGCTGCATAGAGTAGACTGTCACTTTTGGATTCAGGGAAACAAGCACTGAATGGTGGGATCGTATCATCATGCAGTTGTGGGATGATGAGCAGTGGCTACAGAACTTTTGGATGTGGAAAGCCACCTTCCTGGAACTGTGTGCGGCGCTCGCCCCAGACCTGCAGTGCAAAGACACTAGAATGAGAGCTGCACTCTCGGTAGAGAAACATGTGGCAATTGCTGTGTGGAAGATGGCAACTCCAGACTGCTACTGGTCGGACGTGAATCAGTTTAGAGTGGGGAAATCAACCATTGGGGCTGCATTAATGCAAGTGTGAAGGGCAATAAATCACATCCTGCTACGAAGAACTGTGACTCTGGAAAATGTGCGTGAAATAGTAGACGGCTTTGCAGAAATGGGTTTCCCTTACTGTGGAGGGGTGATAGATGGCACACATATTCCAATTTTGGCACCAGACCACCTTGCAACAGAATACATCAATAGGAAGGGATACTTCTCCATGCTGTTGCAGGCGCTTGTGGATTACTGTGGGCATTTCACTGATATCAGTGCAGGGTGGTCTGGGAAGGTGCATGCATGTACAGAAAACTGCAAGTGGGGAATTTCTTTCCTAAGAAGAAGATTACAGTGGGTGATGTTGAAATGCCCGTAGTGATCATAGGGGACCCTGCCTACCCCTTACTGCTGTGGCTCATGAAATCTTACAGGGGACACCTGGACAGCAGTAACGAGTGGTTCAACAACAGGATCAGTAGGTGCCAGATGACAGTTGAATGTGCCTTTGGCAGATTAAAGGTGCTCTGGCGATGCCTTTACGGCTGGCTGGACCTCACTGAGGATAATATTCCTATGGTCATAGTTGTGTGCTGTACGTTGCATAATCTCTGTGAAGCCAAGGGTGGGAGGTTTGCTCAAGGGTGGAGTGCTGAGGCAGACCAGTTGGCTACTGATGTTGAGCAGCCAGATACCAGGGCTGTCAGAGGAGCCAAGAGGGGAGGTATTTAAATCAGGGATGCTTTGAGGCAGCACTTTGACAATGAGCACCAGTAATATACATCTCTGTCCTAGTTGCTTCAATGTTCCATTACATAGTTTTCCTAGGGGGAAATGATGACATTTGGGGCCCTATATTCCTGTAATAAATGCCTGTGCATGTATTGGCAGTGCCTGCAATCTCAACTTGTAGAAAAAAAAATGATTTACCATTATAAAACTTTGCTCTTATTGCACAAGAAACAGCACACGCAAACACACAGATGCTTGGCGGGAAAGGAGGAATCAGGGAAGGGCAGGAAAGGCACAATGATAGCTGGACCTATATGCAGTTGTGAAAGTTGTCTGAGAGGAAGGGGAAACCGAGAAGTCCTGGAAAGTGAAAAGGAATGTGCAGGCGGAGCTTGGGCGGGCACGGAAAAGAGTTCTGAATGTGCTGCAGTGGAGGTCGAGTACTGATCTGCTCAGTCTGCAACATTATTAAGGACTTCAGCATCTGCGTTTGCTCCTCCATTACTTTAATCATCCGCTCAGTTGTGTCCTTAACAAACATGTGATTCTCTTTTCTGTCCTGCCGTTCAGCTTCCCAGCACTCCTTGCGTTCCCTTTTTTCTGCATTGGAGCACTGTAGGACCTCCAGGAATAATGTCTTCTTTGCTGCATCTTGGGTGCTTTCTTATCTGGTGGAGATGCTCAGCCAGGGTGCATGGGGTGTTCCTGAAGGCCACATCTGGTGAAGCACAGGGGACAATGCACAGAAGTGGGATTGTTAAATTCACGCACAGCATTGAAACATTTCTGTTAAATACACCTTTTGCAACGCTGACATCACTTTTTCACTGACCCTCACCAGGCACACATCTCTGCAAACACCCAAAGCCTGGTGAGTGTTGGCAGGAGCGAGGGGCACTCCATATGGGGGGAAAGAGCACACACTCTTTGCAAGGGTCATGGTGCAGCATTCCAGGGAACAAATACTAAAATTCTCCCATACTTTTCCACAGGTGAGAGTAATTCTAGCAGACATCTCACTGCTAAGGGTAAGCAGGGAAATGAGGGTACATCTACTCCATGCTTGTGGCTTCCGGCCTGCTCCCTATGCTGCTCACCTATGTGCCGATTTGGTCCCATAACAAGTGATTGCCAAATGGCATGGGAAAATTTCCTACAATGGGGGAAGGAACAAAGCTGGTCTGCCACGGAACCTTCAGCAGAGGATTAGCAAGAAACTTTCCTGGAGATCTCAACTTGTAGAAAAAAAAAAGATTTACCATTATAAAACTTTGCTGCAATGATTTACCATTATAAAACTTTGGAGGATTTCCTTGAGATCTTGGCATGCATCAATACCCTGTTCCACCGTACTGATTAGCTACACAGGGAAATGTCCAACTCACAGAAACACAGCCAGCCTCCCACATTTCTATGCCCTGAACCCACCTCTGCACTACACAAGCCACAGCCACTTACCAGGTGTCTCATCTCCTGCTTCTTGCTCGCCGGAGAGCAACTGCTCAGACTGGCTAGACACCTCTGGGGTGGAGAACGGTTCCGGGCTGCCTGCCCCACTGAGCGGCCCCACCGGGAGCTGCACATCCTCAACTCCACCTCTTCATCAATAACTTAGTCCTCTGGGTTAGGTCCTCTTTCCGCCGCCTCTGTACCCCCTGAACTATCCACAGGGCTCTTGGCAATGGAGATGGGGTCACCACTGAGGATAGCATCCAGCTAAGAACTGGCAGGTCTTAGCTGAAGCACCTGAGTGACGGTTTGCCTCTCTTGCCTTATGGTACGCCTGCCTCAGCTCCTTTATCTTCACCCTGCACTGCAGCGTGTCCCGATCATCCCCTTTTCACACAAGCCTTGAGAAATCTTCCCGTAGGTA